ATAAATTGCCACACGGACTTTGTGGTATATTTGCTACAATGTCCGTGTGGCATGCAATACGTGGGACGGACTAAGAGGATTTTGAAGGTTCGCCTATTAGAACATCTTAATAATATCAGAAAGAGACTGACGACACACTCAGTCCCAACCCATTGTACATCATGTCCCCTCTTTTCATTTAAGGATTTTAGATGTTGGGGAATTGAACGAGTCCACCACTTTTGGCGTGGGGGCAATAGAGTTCAAAGACTAGCCCAGAGGGAGACGTTCTGGATACATAAATTACAAACCCTCTCACCTAAGGGTCTCAATATAGATATTGATTTAATTTGTTTTCTAGATTAATATGGCCTAAAAGCTTCAGAACAAAGAGTTAGGATATGTGTGTTTGCCTTTAATTTGGGTTGTTTCTACAGCTGAAAGCTAATCCCCATTTAGAGAGAGGATTTATATATATATCAAATACCAAGTAGTTATTTCATACCCTTTATATTTCATTTTATTTCCTTTTGTACAATTTGTGATCTATTGTCCTATATGACCAAAAATCACAAAAGACTATAATAAAAACACAATAACCGATCATTCTAATATAAATAATGGGTTTGCTCTAAGGATTTTTAGAGCTGGTATAAATTGAATGTGGTAGATTCACTAAATAAAGTTTATATGGGAAGTAGTCATTTTGTAGTATCCCCTTTTTTTGTAACCATAGCAATGGATTACCTTAATGTGTTTAATAGGCTTATCTCAAAGATTTCTATGGGGAGCACAAATAATAACACGACAAATTGAAGTTTAAACTGATACAGTGATGAATTGATTACGGTGTTCACTTTGATTAACAATGTATAAAGTTGTATAAAGTTGTATAAAAAAAAAAACTCTTAAATAACAGATATAGGAAATATGATCACTTTGTAATATGAAGCCCTAGGCTTATAATATATTGAGGTATTATGATTACTGGGTATAATATGAGGATTAACATTATGTTGTGTGATGGGATTAATGAGGAGGGTGATACTCAACAGATATATATATAAATAATGGCTAAATATGTTAAACATGGTTAACAGTTTTTTTCTCAAGCAGAATGGGGCTTTTTATTTGTCCTGTGTTCCATTTGACCTTTGAATGATCTGATCGCGTCCGGTTGCCATGGAGACGTTGCTGGTGGAACGCATGTGGAACGCGGACGTTCCCGCGACGTCACTTCCGGTTTCGGCAAATTATGACTACTTCCGATATTTACCGAAAAAGGCGCGAATTACAAATTATAGAAAATGAATGGATGAAAAACAGCTGCCACAGGAAGACCAGTCCTCCAATTAGAACCAAGGAGGATTTACACACCTACTGGATCCACCAATAGACTTTAGGGATTAGCCCTATTTAAGGACACAGGGAGGGGGGATTTGTATAGGATATGTTCATGTATTGTACATTGATACATTGTTATTATTGTTTTTAATTGTGGTCCCTGAGGAAGTTCTTATAGAACGAAACGCGTAGGACAACCTTTTGTTATTTGTATCCTATGCTGAATTGGTGACTACACTTTTTATCTAAATAAATTTTTTATTACTGAACCCTGACCTGTGGATGTCTTTTGGTGGAACAAGGATCCAGAGGTGATAAGGAACACCAGCTAGCCCCCCATTTCATTGGGGAAGGCACCCTAAGAGCGCTTTTACTGCCTACATCCTGTGAGTGCACAAGATTACTGCGCATGAAATATTGTGTTTTATAACAATATCACACTATGTTTTGTTTCATGCTTTCTCTGTAGATTTACACAGCCATATCCCGAATCTTCTCTGTTTTGGTTTATAAAATCTCTACTAAGATGGAAAGGTATTCTTACAAGCACCTACACACTTATTAAATCTCAGTAGGGTACACATGCACTGTTTACATTTTGTATTTACGCCATCTGCTTTTACTACACAAGCTTTTTCACTTACCTCTAGAATCATCACTTTTAGTTAAATATAGGATTTGAATATATCTGCATGTTCCTGTTACATGGGACATTGTCTAACTCAGGTTATGATCATATTTATTTACATCCATACCTCAATATACAAAAATGTCTTGCAAATATAATTATGCAAAAACAATATATTGCTTTGAAAAAGCAATATTGTGGGCGAAACATTGTTTTTTTTTTATAATATTCTATTGTTTTTTTGTTTTTTTTGGTTTCAAATAATACTATATTTTTTTTTATTGAATTTAGACCTTCCTGTTTTTGTCTCTGAAAATTTTTCTTGGAGGATTCAAACTTTTATTTCCATGGTGGGGAAGATACCACTTAAGCTTTATATGATCCCTTTGTGACTTTAGCTCTTTTTTTTTTGGATTATAAAAAACATGTCAGTTGCTTAAAACCTGCCAATCTGTGGCATAAAATTTTTTCCTGAAGAAAATGTGCAGTTTTACATCTCTCTCTCTTTTTTTTTATACCTCCCTTTATTGTTTTTTATTACTTTTTTAGCAAAGCAGAGAGCACTATCTTTTGTTTTTATTTTTCATTTTATTCGCTAATTAACTCTTACTGCTATAAAACAGTATTTTGAAAGAGAATACTTCTATCAACGCTTACCATCCCATGCTGCACACCGGCTTAAGGATACCTTTTAATTTAAGATTAAGACCCGGATCAGCATATCCACAGACTGGGCTTGTAACTTCCAAGCTCACCAGCAACGAAAATACTACACCATATTCCATTTTATTTGTCCTCTTGTTTTTCATATCACTCCATCTTTAATTGGATTGAGGACACTATTGAAGGTGCTGCTTCCCTACATTCCTTTTCAAAAACAATATATTGTCTATAATTATAGAGTGCAAACTTTATAACTTTTGAAAATGGCAGTTTCATTTTGTAGCATCTATATCATTGATAAAGTCAAAGAACTTTCAGAGTCAAGATGGCAAATGATCATTAATCTTCTCATATTGAATGAGGACAATAAAAAAAAAAACATAGCACCGAAAGCAAAATTACCATGAAATGTTCATCATTAAGGGATTCAAAGGAAATGATTGTGTCCATGAAAAAAATAATATAGCACAAGTAGTATGAACACTCTTCGTGTCTAAACGAAAATGACATCAAACCAATGCAATGCTAAACTACACCACTGTTTGCAAGACTTATAGTACAATTGTAAGGAAGAACCTTCCAGAAAAAATATAATATCTATTAAAAGCTAAATAAACGTATGTTTTATGTTGAATAGGCGAGGCACAGGATTAAAGCAATACAGTAAAAGAAATTTGAATTCCTAACACTATAGTGTTCCCCCCATCACCCCAGTTATGTAAAGGGTTAAAAAATGCTTTAATAACTTACTGAATCTAGTGCTGAAGTACCTTGGCACTGGGTGTGGCTCCTCCCCATCCAACATTAGCCAATGGGGGAAACCTAATGTACATGTGTCGCGGACTCAATGCTGTCCGGTGGGGGTTTTCAACACTCTGGATGTCCTAATGCAAAGCGTGAGGATGCTCAGCATCGTTTCACTGAGTCAAACGTTGTGAAACTGCAGAAAGCACCTCAAGTTGTTGTCTGGTAGACAGTCCCTACAGGCAATTTTAGCATTTAGTTTTTCTGAAACTGCAATGTTTTATATTGCAGGTTTAAGGGGACAAAGACACTGCACACAGACCACTTCAATTACATGAAGTGGTCTGGGTGTCTATAGTGTTCCTTTAAAAAACCCTCATAACTTCAAAAAAGGCTAGTGATAGACCTGCATACATTATCGACTTCCTTTTTCAGTCCATGGTGCCATGTAAGGGTTAAAATAAATTTCTATATTCAAAAGTTAGCAGAGGATATCACAATGTTCTATGAATCTTATCTATGAGGGAATTTACACAGAATGTGATGAAAGTACATCCAATTCTGCATACAAATGGTTATACAAGTACCACCATCAGATCGTTCAAACTACACCAAGATGGCTGCACTCACCTAAACATTTATATATTATAAGAGTGCTACAAGGTCGATTCATATAGCACACAAGGTACAGCACACTCACTTATTAAAACAGCAATTTCAAAACTAAAGAATGTAAACATTTCTTTGAAAACAATAAAACTTGTCAAACATAATGAGGGTTCTTACTCGTGCATGGTTTAGTCACTAAACTACTGTGTTGGAAATTCACTAGAGATTTGCAAATGTTAGGACAAAATAATTGAGTTTGAAACATTTTTAGACTCCAATACTTTAGCTTGACTACTTTGTCCTTTAACTTTCATTTCCTTGATCAGTTCCTGACTATTTCCTGTTTAATTCAGGAACTTACCAAGGAAATTAATTAACCTGTTAGCTCTTCCTTGGGTCATAGCATATTTATTTGACTTGCACTTAAAATGTGGAATTAGAATTGCATTAACTTGAAATTCACAGATTGTTTTGTAATATAACTGCTCTATTGCATACAATAGAATATAATTACAGTTACAATATACAAATGCATGTTCTATTTTTTTTTTCATATTTAAATTTTTATTTCGATTTTACAAGTTCCAAAGAAATTACAGAGAAATATACATAAAAAATTAAGGAAAAAAATACAAGATGTTGAATATTATACATTATACATCCTGCGATCTATTCTGCCTTGTTATCTTCTTCAGTAGCAGTTTGTCATTCTTATATATTTAGATCAACAATACTTCCTTGTATTAAATAAACATTTCTTTCTTATATCTTCTAATACAATAGAAACAATATATATACTAGCATATGATAAACAAGCTTGATCAATTGTGGAAGATACTGACATTCTGTATAGGCCTAGACTTATACATTTCTAGTGCAGGCTAAAGGTCCAGGGTTAGATCCTGAGAGGGTGCATGGATAAGTGAAAACATTGCTAGCAATCAAGAGTTTCAACTATATGGTAGCTGGTTTTAAGGATAAACAAAGTGAGTCAACATGTAAGAGGCAGATAGCCGACTATGTGTGAGGTACATTATGCTATGGCGATTCCCCAGGGGGTCCCCCCTATCAAGGAAGGTAGTGGGACAAAAATATTCACCCTATGCCTTGTTTCATTCGAGCAAGGTCTGTACTGGAGCGTGCTGGGTTTTGAGTCCCAGGTTTGAGGCTGTGCTTTTCGGTTGTCAGGAACTTGGTTTTCCATGGCTTGCAAAGGTTGATGCAGGGTTGAGGTCTGCTCTTTGGCGGTTTCCACCTCCGTGCTGCTGATAGCTCCGTTGGGCTTGCACACCGTCCATGTTAGAGCCTTCGTCGTGGGTGCATGCTGTGCTTTCTTGCGCTTGTGTGAGGTATTGTAGAGATTGGCAGTCGGCCAGGAGCTGACCGGTGGCGCCCTCTCGCTTCGGGCCTGTAGCAGGGCCAGCATCCTTTCGGGACTGGTCTGGAGACCCTGGTGTCGGTGGCATGCCACCGTCAGCAGGTGGGTCTCCGCCTGCATGGTCGATGCTCCGGGGTTGATCCTCTGGTGGCCCTGGGCCCAGATGGGCTGGTGTGGAGATTCTTGGACTGTTTGTTCACAGCTTTGCCGGAAGGCAGCCTGGTCCCACTCCGGTCGATGTTGCCTTGTTGGCCCTCCGTGCTTCTGTTCTCCAGCAGCTTTGATTGCTCTGCCTCGCGTTGGGCCGTGATCCGTGCCCAGAAGGCCTCAAACAGCTCGTCCAGGTGGGTAGTGAGAGAGTCTTTTGTGTTGCGGCTTTGTTCTGACTGCCCAGAAATTCCACAAGACTGCGTGTCCGCCATTTTGATGTGGCGGGCTGCTTGCGAGTTTGGAGCGTGGACGGGGCTGATGTTCGCTTTTAGGGTCCACTGGGGCTTGCCAGTCGAGATGATTGGGACCGGGATAACCCCCACCGGTCCTAAGGGGGTGGGGGGATGGAAGCCATTTGCTGCAGGTGCTGCATGTGGTTATGGGCCGGGACAGCGGCCACCTCTCCCTTGCCCTGCTTGGTATAGACCCCAGGCCTCAGCTTGGTCATTTTGGCGTGTTTTCTGGGAATGTGAGGTATCCCCCTGTTCGCCAGTGTCTGTGGAGAAAGTTGTGATGAGTTAGGATTCAGGGTTATTTAATTTGCCCCCGGATTTAGTCAAAGGCCCAGGAGCTCTTGGCTTGTGCGTCTGCACAGCGTCACAGTCAGGCCAGTCAAACCCTTATTTTGGTTTTAATCGGAATATGTGCATAACAAGAGATATAGTCTCAATATATAACTATCTGGCAGCTTTGATCTAGTGGATTAATAAATTAATTTATTTTACTTTGTGACAAATGAATGTTCTAAATCTCTGTCTACAAAACCAACATACCTTTGTTTTCTATGTCAATTTTGATAACAAAATAAAAAAAACTATTTTGTATGGTGATACTGTTCCCCTTGAAACAAAGTTTCATCTTAAACTGACAAGACATGTTTTGTAATAAAAATGTAATTAATGAGCACCATCTGGTGGATTTTTCTGCTTGCATTTCAAATAATGTAACAACAATGACCTTTATAATTAATGACACTAAAATGAAAAATACTTTTTAACATGAATATCTAAATACAGAAAAACTTTGTAAAAACTACAAATAATTTTATTAAAATTGCACTGTGTGAATAATACTTAAAAATAACCTGGAAAAACTAAATGTGAAGACAGCACTCAGATGTTTACTCAGCACCCAACTCCTTTTGTTTGTCTTTGTTGGTTTCAGCATACCAAAACTGACTTGCTCTTACTGGTATGGTTCTGTCAGGGATCTTACCTGAAGTGGGAGTCCGGCACGCAGAGTTGAGGCACCCTTTGCAATTCGACACAGACCGAGGGGACTCAGGACAGAAATCCCCAAGGCTGTGACACAGTGCACTGGGGCTGAAATAACCAGTGCTTCCTGGAACGCAGTACCGACAAAGGATATCCAGAAGAGTAGTCAGTATCAGAATCAGAAGTCAGGACGGGCGGCAATCAGGCGAAAACAGTAGACGAGCAAGAGATCAAAAACAGGAGTCAGAAGAACAGCAGTGAAACCAAACAGGAACAGGAAACACGATCTGACAACGAGAACCAGCCTTGCGGGGTTTAAATAGGGAGTCTCAGCCAATCATCAAGGAACCAGGAACAGGTGTGCACATTCCAGGTGAACAGGCTCAGACTACAGGATACCAAGAACAACCAGAAACAGTCAAAGATGCGTGGAGCTCAATGCAAGGATACCGACTGGGATGCAGGAAACTCAGGTTTGATCCCAGCCAGACCCAAATACACAATATTGTGTAAAGCACAATGGTGATCCTGACAGGTTCAAACCTTAATGAATGTCTTTGTCCCTGACCACGAATATATATACTCGTGGTCAGGGACAAAGGCATTCAATAAGGTTTGAACTATACTAGTAAGAGCAAGTGGATGTAGTCAGGGACAAAGGCATTTAATAAGGTATGAACTATACCAGTAAGAGTGAGTCTGTTGTGGTATACCGAAACCAACGAGGGAGTAGGCCTGAAAAAGAGGGCAAAAATTATTAATACCATGTAATCTCCGTTCAATTTTTTTTACAAAGCCCTCTCCCCTTATATTATGCCTACTTGTAACTTAAATTATTAAATTGTTGCATATTGATGAAAACTCAATTGCTAGGAAGACAAGCATGAAGGACATAATCATGTAATTAATTGGTAAGATTGGGCAAAAATGATACCGTAACCCAGTGAGGAATGTTGAAAACATGAAACTATGCAGCTAACTAGCTGCTGTAAGGCCTTATGTCAAGCAGCAAAACAATAAAGGTAAGATCAGTAACAGATGAGGCCTTAACTGCTATGTCAGGAAGGTTGAGATGCGAGGCACTAACTATGATTTGAGCAGGGGGCAAAATACCTCCATAGCTGAGGATCGGGGTTGGCATTGCAGTGCAGCTATCTAATGGCACAAGAAGCTGAAATACTACCTAGGGCCAACTATGGTACCCTAACAGCCAGACCACGCTAAAGGAAATGTTCTGTAAAGCAAAATGTTGTTTTAGGAGGGAGGTAGTTTTGGGAAAGCGAGTCACTTACGTGGTGACCTAAAAAACATGATTGTGAAAACAAGGATATCTAATGTGACTGAATAGATAAACACCTGGAAGATCGATGAAAGCTAGAAGCCTAGAAGGTGATGGTAAGAATAAGTGAAAAGAAAAGTAGAGGGCAAAAGGTGTACAGTGGTTCAATAACCTAAACCCAAAACCGGAACCTGACACAAGTGAACTTAGTGCTCATAATACGGAACTACGTTACTAACACCATGAAAAGGCACCAGAATGATTGCTGATAAGGTAGATTAAGTAAGTAAAATGAGTCCAGAATGATTAAAATAGTTTAGTGATACCTGTTACCAAAAGAAAAACTGAAGGAACTTGAACAGTATATTAAATGACCTAGTTGACCATGCTAAAATTAAGCATACCATGTGAGACTTGATTTACTGATATGTTCTTAACGTGAATAGATATACGTGAGATATAACGTGAATTAAGTGGCCAGTATACATGAAAATCATAACCCTGTAACATACAGTATATATCAAGAGGCGAGGGTACATAAGCACAAATATTGACTTGTGGATAATCAGACACAAGTTTGAAGTAACTGGGTTCCAAACATCGGCACAATATCAGGAGGTAACTGGAAGGGGGATAGATATATCATTTTCAATAATTGGATCTGCACTCATGGTCTTGTTGTATATTGTTCTTCATGTCTTCACATAGAAGGAAGTGCAATTCTGTACATAGATGTCAACATCTCAGGACAGGTAAGTAACACTAATATCACTATAGGTACACTGGATAAAAACAAATAAATAACCCTAGGTGCAGGTGTACTCAGATTTGCAGTGTCTGGTGTCGTAAACATGGTCATATATACTATTGTAGTCTACAAAACCTCTCGGTGAAGGTGTGTTCATCTAGGCAGCACCTGCATTGAGTGCATACTTGTGAGTGAATTCTGCTCACTATGTGAGGACATCATTTGCTACCAATACCATGGTGATCTAACGTGTTGCAGAAAACCCGCAAAGACCATGATATCGATATACCACTAAACATATTGTCCCTGTTAGCAATCTAGACAAAGTGTTTTCTATACATGAACCTTTTACCATAGCTTTTCCTTCTCATTTTTGAAAAATCATTTGCACCAAAAGTCATAATTGGTCATATTAAAATTAGATAATATGGAATGGTCAATGGGGCCAAAAGCTATAAATGGAAGTAGTTATATGGGACACATAGATTGCATATGAGCACATCTATTTATGAAAAGGCTCATTTGCTGGTAAAGCCAAACATTAATATTACCTACCTGTTTGGGATTGACATATTGTACAAGTCTGGTCTCCAGGTCATTGGGATACGGTATTAGGGGTTTTCATAGGGGATGGTGTGTTTTTATATTGTTTGTACTTTGTATTTTTTCACTAATTTGAGATTTCACATTGTGTTACAGGGTTTTCCCTGTGAGTATTTGTGTATTCTACCTTTTGTGATAATAAAATGATTTCTGAGCAGAATTTGTATTCTTTTTTTCTTTGTTGTACTGGAGTGTAGTCCCGACTTTGTCTCATGATATCTTAAGGTTGTGTTGGCATTTCAATGAAATTCCAAAGCAGTCAGCATGAATATTTCATAAATATTACATCTTTATCAAATACTCAGAAGTGACAGAGCTGCTTTAAAAGGTAAAATAATGACAATTCAGTTTGTTTAAATTTGCATATTTTGCAAGGAACTCTTGGGATATTGTAGAAGGACACACAATCGGAACTGCCGCGTATGAGTCAGATGTTTAAATTCGCCTTATGATATGTAAATGTCTCACAGCAATAGGTTTCATAATTTATTGAAATAAGTGGAAAAAGTTGTCTCTATTTTATCTTATCTGCCTTAATACGTGGCTTAATACTGTGAGAGCTTTCCATTCACTTACCAAGCTAGAAATGTACTGATGATCACCAAACCTTGCATAATTATCAGTACAAAGCTAGGCATCAGTCTCTGAGATTCTAAACCACGCACAGATTTTAAATCTCTATTTTATGTAACATACAAATTCTCGGGCGCTCTGTAGAAATGGGGGAAGGAAAGCTAAGCTATCTGTGTTGTTTATGTTCATTTGCATATTTTAAATTGCATCACATTATTTTGGAGCAATCTTTCAGAGCTGGTGTGTAAAAAGTAACCTTTCTACCATATGATATGTAGTGGTTTTAGAATGTATGTACAATTCCTTTCAGCTTCGAGAATTAAATTTCTTGTTTGTTTCCTGAAATTGGTAGTTAATTGCAGTTACTTCCACAACAATTTATGCATGAATATTTCTGGTTTATTCTTGCACCTGCATCATACTCTTCAGTTTTATAATGATTTTGCCAATTGTTAAATTGCAGCCATTAGTCAGAAATTTGATAAGTGCCATTTAGGTTAAAAGCTGCTATAATTGTGCATGGGTGTGATAAGCTTCATTGGCACCTGATGTGGTCTTCTTTGAGTGACTTAGTACACAGAGCTTTTAGGATGAGGATCTTGCTCACAATAATTTGCTCTTTTTTCCAGTGCTTGATTCTGATGAACATATTGATAGAATGATTCAAGGACAAATTACATTCTGAGAAAACCCATGATCAGTCGGTTTCTTGACTGATTTCTGCATCAAGTTGACAATATGGTGCAGGCTATTGCACTTTTAGAGAATTAGAAATATATATTAGAGGACTGATAT